ACCCATATTCTGTCTCTCAACCTCCAGAATACTGGTGAATGCATTTAAAGATTTGAAGACCTCCAAAATAACCTGACCCATTGAGTGAAAATTAGGCCTTCCTTCTAAACTGTAGTAATACTTTGAACATACCTCTTATAGAAATTATTAGGTGTCAGTCTCTAAGAGGTCCTTGGGGTTAGCATCAGTATCATATTTAGAAATAATTGAATGAGGGCGCCTGGGTGGCTCAGTCATTAAGCGTCTGCCTTTGGCTCAGGTCATGATCCCAGGGTCCTAGGATCGAGCCCCACATCGGGCTCCCTGCTCAGCGAGAAGCCTGCTTCTCCCTCTCCCACTCCCCCTGCTTGTGTTCCCTCTCTCGCTGTGTGTCTCTCCATCAAATAAATAAATAAAATCTTTAAAAAAAAAAAAAAAGAAAGAATTGAATGGATTAATGCATGATTACAAATAGTTATCCCCCACATCTCTTGCATCATTTATGAGATGAATTGGTGACATTCAGTTAGACAATGTTGGGAGATTTCAGAAGAGATGATGAGTTTTTGTTTGAACATATCCATGTAGGAGTGCCTTAGGACCCCCAAGAGAAAATATCCAAAAATTAGAACTTCTGGAAAGAAGTTCAGAAAAGAAATAGCCCCAGAGATAGAGAATTAGGAGTTATTAACATATCAAGGATAGTTGAAACCATGGAATATCATGAGTTTACTAAACCTAGTTCAGAAATAGAACCCCTTTGGACAACATTTCAGTTGGGATGAAAGTGGGTAGCTGGACAAGGGTGGACAAAGAAGAAGCGGCAATAAATAAATTTATATGTATATATATAAATCTTTATACAGAGGGAGATAGATAAGAGATTGGATAGATAGAGAGATCTTTCAGCTTATACATTCCAGTGGCAAAAGCTGCAGAGGGACTCATTTTAAATCTCAAATGGTAAATAGAGAGGCCCATTTCCTGGAGCATTCACAGCAGCTTGTTTCCCAGGATGTATATTCTAAGAAGTCCACGTTAAAGCTTTTCATCTTGTATATGGTTAACAGTCTCAACATTCTAATTTCAGCCTAACAGTTACAGTGTGAAAGATATGTTGCCGCTGATCCCAACATCCATTGGAAGATTCTACATTCTTTCCTCAAAACTGTGAAGTTGGCAATATAAATTTTTCTGCACTGATCCTTTAGAGCCATTTAGTTTCAGTGTCTTTTTAGGCAGTCATCTAAAGATTGCCAGGCAGTGATTCAGGACCCAGGCAGTTTAGAAAAACCTTGGTCAGACTGATGGCCCCCAGTAACCAAAGGAGATCATGCTCAGAAAGGACCACCTGCTCAATAGTGTTCATTATGGTTTGGTTTGGTTTTTCTGTGCTTCTTCATTCGTTCTGGAAGTCTTTCCTCCTTTCTAGCTATTTCAAGATCTGTACAGGAAATCGAGTTAAGCCATTTTTATCTCAAAACTAGGTGGTTTTGAAGTTTTGTGTGGTCATTATTAGTCTCAGGAATAGTCTGAGAAAATATTCTCCATTCTTGTTTAAAAAACTCATACCTCAGGGGCACCTGGGTGGCTTGGTCTCTTAAGCTTCCAACTCTTGGTTTCTGTCCAGGTCATGATCTCAGGGTTGTGAGATTCAAGCCCCACGTCAGGCTCCACGCCCAGCTTAACATTCTCTCCTTCTTCTGTCCCTCCGCACCCTCCCCTCTAAAACAACAACAACAATTCATACCTCAGTAAGGACCCCCAAAAACACCACACAAGAGTGTATTTAGTGGAAAGGACACTCTTATCAGGAGTCAGAAGACCTTAGGATATTGCATCTCTCCTGACTGGGCTAGTACTTCACTATCCCTGAGCCTCAGTTTCCTCATCTATCAAATGGAAATAGTAATACCAACCCCTATACAGTGAATATGGTTTTCTCATACCCTACAGGTAGGACTATAAATTGATTCAGGGTTTTTTTTTAATGTAACAGGGCTGTACATATAAAGAACTCTGAAAATCTGTATACTCTTTGGCTCTGTAATTCTACTTCTAGAAAGTAACTCGAAGTCTGGCAAGGATTTGTACACAAAATGTTCATCCCAACATGGTTTATAGTGATGGATACTGAAAACTACCAGAAGCTCCAAAAATATTTCACTGGTAGGAAAATATTCACCCATTTAAAAAAATGATGTTCATGTATGCAGTCAGACCTCTAGAATCTAGATCATTTTACAGGAAATACATAGTTCAAAAAAATATGGTAAATGACACCACAGGGACATAATCAGCAAAATTTAGATTGTGGGAAACTATAAAATAAACGAGGGTTTTTCAACAAATAAATTTGCAAAAGAAGAAAAGAGAGATGGAGGGGTAACATACAGAGTAAGAAGTGACTTCGAAAGATATAGTAACCAATTATAATGTATGGTTCTTATTTGGATCCTAATTTTTTAAAAACTATTAAAAATGTTAAGACATTTGTGATACTTTTGGAAATTTGAATACTAGTTACTTGATGGTACTAAGGAATTACTGTTATTTTCAGATGCAATGGTATTGAGGTTGCTTTTTCAAGTTCTTATTTTTTAGAGATACAAACTAAAACATTTATGAATGAAATTATATAATGACTTAGACTTGCTTATACATTATGCAAGATAGGTGTGGATGGGTGGGATGGGCCATGGTTGATGGTGATTAGGGATGGATGATAAATGCATGGGGGTTTGTTATCCTAGTCTGTCTTTATTTGGTTTATGTTAAAACGTTTCAATAATATAGTTTTTAAAGGTTTAAAATGTAATGCTTATAAACATATCTTTCATGATATAGAAAATGCCTAAAATAGTTGAATAAAATTCAGTTTAATGTCAGTCATATAGATAAAAAAATCAAATAGAAAAAACAAAAGGAAACGTATCAAACTGTGGTTGTCTTTGGTGACATTATGGCCAGCTTTTTCTGTTTTTTTTTCCTGCTTTTCTTTGCTATATAAATTTTCATAATGAGCCTGTATTACTTTTATAATCAGAAAAAGTAATTTTTCTACTTTCTATGGTTAGAACTCTTTTAGAAACTTAACTTGAAATAACATAAGCAAAAAAGGCTAGTAAAATGGCTTCTGTAACTGGAAAGGTAGAGGTTTGAAGCTAGATGCTAAGACTCCAATTATACCATCTGGGCTTTGTCTGTTTTCTCACTTCAACTTGTCTCTGCTTGGCTTCATCCTATAAGCATATATTTGTGTAACAAGTAAGTTGGCTACCAGCAAACCCCAGGTTCATATCTCTCAGTTTAGATATCCCTAGAGAAAAGAGATTCATCCTATGGTCATCTGTTAATCCCACAGAAGATCGTGATTGGTCCTTTTTGGGTCATGTACCCATCCTAGAACTTACTATTATAGCCTAGCTAATGACCTTTGACTATCATGGAGTACATACTAACTTCTGCTTTTGTAGGAGAGCACAATATTTAAGAATCCCACCAGGACTACATGGTATAGGAGAGGAGAATATGCTAGATGGACAAAAACCAAAGCTGTCACTATCCGCTCTCTCATGGGATTGTTGGGATAATTCATTGGGATGATTAATATAAAAACACCTTCTAAGTTGAAAAGTTCTGTGCAAATATGAGAGTACATTTTTTTTAGTTTGATTCTATTAAATCAGAATATGATAAGATCCTCATTGTGTGCATATGTCAGTCTGTCAGTTTCTTTCATTATAAGAGAATAGGTCTGGTGGTCATCATTTCATACTTCCCAATTTTAAAACTGTAGGAGATGTTGAGTAGCCCAGGTGAGTATATTTCCTAATATAAGAGGAGAAAGGGGGCATTATATTGAACCTTCTAAGTAGTAAACTTGGAAGAAGCTCCAGATATGAATTATTCATCAGATTTTCCTTACTTTTACAAAAAGGTATACTGGTAAATGAATAGTGATGGGGACTGTAGTGCACTTATGAGCAGAAGCATCAATTCCTTTGCATTTATTGCTAAAAGTTAACATGTTGATTTTCAGAACTACTGTATTCAAAGTCCTGCCCTCTTCATATATGTAAATACAGTAGCACTGAATCAGTATAAAATCTCCAAGCTAAGGCTGATTTATCTACGAGGTCATATATAGTCTTAAAATACTATTTTCAATAATAGCTGCTTTGTGGAGTAATAAAGGAGCTACTATTTTTGGTCCAGTTTAATAAACAGCTCTGGAAAGCTGTTTAATGGGCTGAAAAGATGAAAGTGACTTCTTAAATGTTATTGTCAACTGTCAAGACTGGTATTTTCATAACAGAAAGCAATTAGATTCCCACTGTTATACTCCTAATGGTGATAGGGTTTTGAAAAATGGAGAACCTACATTTGGCATTAGAAATTTAGGTTGTAACAAGAGTATATCTGGGTAGCATCATCTTATTTTCTGAACCCCTACATTCTAGTGAATTTGGCTATCTGGTACTTTAAAAAGTACTGCTTTTCAAGAGTGTAGAGGTAATTATAAATCATTTCAACTATTGACGGACTCGGGGCGCCTGGGTGGCTCAGTCATTAAGCGTCTGCCTTCGTCTCAGGTCATTGTCCCAGGGTCCTGGGATCGAGCCCTGCATCGCGCTCCCTGCTCCGCGGGAAGCCTGCTTCTGCCTCTCTCACTTCCCCTGCTTGTGTTCCCTATCTCGCTGCGTCTTCTCTCTCTGTCAAATAAATAAATAAAATCTTAAAAAAAAAAGTCAATTATTGACAGACTCTTTAAAAATGATCAGATAATCATTTTCACTCATCTTTCTTGAAGAATAGCATCAGACTAACCAAAAGAGGGAAGAGAATCACTTACAGAAATAGCTGATTATTCAGGACTAAATCTAAGGAAATTACTAGTTCAGATGCTTTACCCAAACCTGTGTTTGCTTGTTAGAGGGGTCTAAGTTTTTCAGACTCATCTTTGAAGATCTTGCCAGCCCATGCAGACTGATAACACACATGTTTCTCCCTACATCTAGCTACGTGGTGAACATAGGTCTGATCAGCAAGCTTCATGGCTGCTTCCTGTCAGTGCAAGGACCAGTGGATGAGAATCCCAAGATGGCCACATTTCTGCAGCATGCCGCAGAACTCTTACGTGGAATGTGCATGCTGTGCTTTGCTGTCACCAGAAGGTAAGGCTTCTACCTGATATCAATCCGGACTCAACTTTGGAAATATCTCTTAAATTTTGCCCGTCTTGGGGTCATTTCATAGGGATGCAAGTGGTCATCGTGGCCTCTTTTCTTCTTTGCCCTACCTTTGTCCTTATTGGTCTCCCATATTGAGACTAGCCTTATATTTCTTGTTTTTCCCTGGCTACACACTCCTGTCAGAGTCTGTTTTTCTTGTTAGTATCATACACTTAACTATCATTGCTGGAAGAGTTCTTAGGAGTCGTCCAGTCCTACTTCCACTGAAATTCAGGGGAATCAAGTGATTGTCCTTGACTTAGTGAGGCAGTAACAAAGCCTACACCAGATCAAGGCAGACCCTCAGCACAACACAATCCATGACTGTGTTCACATGCTTTTATTTAGAGCCTCCTAGGTTTGTTTATTTTCCCCTTTTGTCTATTTCTCCAAGATACCTTCATGAATAAGGGAAGGGAGGCATCCAAAAACAGTAGCTCCCTGAAGTTACATATGACCTATGTGTAGGACAGACAGATGGAGGCCGGTGGCGTGGGTAGTGAAAGAATTCACCCAGGGCAGAACAAAGGAGATAAAAGTTTATTGAAAACACTGCAGGGCAGGGCAGCTAAGGAGAGACGGTCTGCCACGAGGGGGGGGGGGGGGCTGTAGTTAGGGGGGGCGGGGTGGAGGTATTGGAACGTATAGAATTTTCCATTTTTGGTACCTGTGCCCAGTTGTAAGTAGCCTATTGGTCAGCTGGGGCTTATGGATATTCTAAGGTGGGTCGCCTAATGGGTCTGTTTGTATTCAGTATGGTTGGGGGGGAAGGGGGGGTTGGGGGTCACTGTGGGCCCTCTACCTTACTCAGGTTTCTGTTGCTCAAGTTGGTTGCCCAGAAGCGGCATGATTATAGCCAACGTGCCAGGGACAACTGCTCACCTGGTTGGCTCATTCTCATCCATATTCAATGTACACAGAGTGCCAGTGACTATGTTCAGAATATTTTAAAAGAGAGAATTTGCTTTCTAAAATGAACCTGCTTAATATTTTTTAGTCTGTTATACATAGGACCCTTACCCCATCCTGTAGACTGTCCTCAAAAGCAATAATTCTCTAGGAGGGGCAGAGTAAACCCCCATTATGTTCTTTTCTCTCCCCTCCCACCAATTAAGAATAATTTGCAATAATGATTCAATGTTTCTGATAGGAATATGACATAGCCCTCAGGCATATTAAGAATGTTCAGTAAAATAATTTTCTTACAATTCTAAACAGCACTGCATATAATTTTTTTTTGCTGTAGCCCTTTTTATTTATATTTTATATACTTTTCAAACATACCCAAAAGGAAAGAGCACAGTAATGAATGCCCTATAGTATCCATTGTCTAACTCCCAACTATTATCAATATTTTCCCAGTCTTGTTTTATCCCCCCACTCACCCCCTGGGTTTTTGTTTTGTTGGGTTTTTGTTTTGGGGGAGGGGAGTTATGGCTAGAGCATATTACAACAAATTTCAGGTATTCATTTCACCGAAGATACTTCAGCATGCATCTCTGATGCTATTATCACACCTAGTATAATAAGCAATAATTTTGTAGTATACCCAGTCCATGTTCACTTTTCCCCACTGTCTCAGACATCTTTCTACCTTAAGTTTCTTGGAACCAGAATCCAAATTTCAGGTGACATTTGGTTGTTACATCTCTTAAGTCTCTCTTATTCTGTAAAAGTTCCCTTTCCCCTCAGCCTCTTTTTTTATTTTTTTTTTAAGATTTTATTTATTTATTTGACAGAGAGAGACACAGCGAGAGAGGGAACACAAGCAGGGGGAGTAGGCAGGCTTCTGGCAGAGCAGGGAGCCCGATGCCGGGCTCAATCCCAGAACCTGAGTCAAAGGCAGACACTTAATGACTGAGCTACCCAGGCGCCCCTTGGCCTCTTTTTTTATGCCATTGATTTGTTAGAGAAAGAATTTATATGGTTTTTTAAGGATATGTCAAGAAGAAAATTAAAACTAAAATAAAAATTAAAAATTTGAAACTTCTAGTCTAGCTGCTTAAAGAAATATCCATCCATATTCAATGTACACAGAATGCCAGTGACTATGTTCAGAATATTTTAAAAGAGGGAATTTGCTTTCTAAAATGAACCTGCTTAATATTTTTTAGTCTGTTATACATAGGACCCAAAAATCCAACTATTCTTCCTTATGTTAACGTCCCTCTACCCCTAGTCACATTTCTAGGAAGATTAAGACTACCTGAATGTGAGGGAGGCCAAGCATAACCTATACTCAGCTTTCCCTTCTAGAAATGCAGACAGAGCCTGCCTTCCAAGGATTAGGTGATAACTTAGGAAGTGGCTATTTGTGGGTCTATAACCTAAATATGATCAGGTGGTACCCCACTACAGAAAGGCTAGCAGCGGTAACAGGGCTCCATCCAGGGCATTGGCACCTGCCAGCTTGGGGTCTGCCATACTGCCCGGCTAGTTCCTGTGTAGTAGCCAGACTGCTCCCCAGGGGGTATCATCTCACCCAGGAGACCCCTTCTGACCGTGGTTCTTTCATACACACATTATAAACCTGCCAGCATCTCAAGTCTTTGTCACCTATATTCTTTCCTTAAATCCAGATGAGTATCACACACGTAAGCATTTCCATATGTGTTCGTTGTACAGTTTGTGGGCTTCAGGTTTCACTTACACACACAGATTTAGTCATCTGAAATCTGTGGAGCTTGAAAGAAGCTTAGAGGTCATTCACAGCACTCACTCTTATAGGGAAAGCAACTGAGCCAAACTAACTTGAATTAGGATACAAGATTCCTACTTCAGTGCTCTCACCTACACACTTGACTTTGTATAATTCAAAATGTAGGAGCATATATTTCATTTCTTTGAAGATTTTCTCAATTACATATATGGAAAACAGGATCCCCTTCTCTTTAACACACACAGTCATGTCCTCTTCCAGTAGACATTGAGCATCTGCCCTGTGCCAGACACCAAGACAAGTACCAAAGATACTACCCTCAGGGAGCCCCAAGCCTGGTCTGGGGTCAGACCCATAAACTTAGAGCTGCAGCTCTTCAATGGACTAAATCTTAAAGGACCCAGGAAGACAATGGAAGAAAGAATGCAACAGAGAAAAGGGGCATAATATGTGCACTGTATGATATAACAGATGTTATTGCTGTCTTTGGCCCCCTGGAGGTCACCTGCCAACGGATTCCTGTATTTCTCTGCCTGCCTGGGGATATTCTCTGGACAAGTGGCTGTTTGCTACAAGTGCAGGGGAGTTAATACCTCCAGGAGTGACTCTCCAGCAATAAATGGGTGGATTGTATGCCAGCTCCACTAACCCTCAATGAGACAGTTCCAAGGTGTCAGTCTGTCAGAGGGGTACCAGTGGTAAGCTATGCAGAGACACATCCTTGATCAACTTTCTCCCTTCCCTCTTTCTGTCCTCAGCTTCCTCCCAAGTAAACTACTTGCACTCCTATCCTTGTTTCAAGGTCTGGTTTGGAGGCAACCCAAATCAAGAGATACAGATCTATAGGATATTGTCTCATGCTCAGTTTGATGGAGCTGTACAATAGGGTGACTATGAAGAGCGACAGGAGATGAAGTATTAAATGAACTCCATAGATGTTAGGTCCTAGCAGGCCAAAAGGGAGACAAGAGTTGATGTGCTACACTAGAGCTGTAGAAAATCACTGAAGTTGTTTAAGAGAGAGTAACAGGATCAGATTTCTGTTACAGAATGATCATTCCTGAAAAGTGTAGAAAGGACTGGAATGGCATTAGCCTAGAGGCAGAAGGAATAGTGGAGAGGCTCTTACACGAGCCAAGAGGGAAATGTTGAGGGCTGTGGGGATAATGGAAATAGGAGCAAATGCATTAAAAGGAGACAGAATATATGTAAGAGAGATGGCATAGAGCTTGGTGACGTGGGAAGTAAAGGGAAGGGAGGAACCTAAGATGGCTCCCAGGTTTCTGACTTGAAATTTGTGAGTTGTAGATGGTATCCCCTCCAGAGTAGGGAATCTAAGCAGTTTTCCATAGAGGAAATATGGCTAAGGATTATCCAAGTAGACCAATGTCTTTGTATATATGTATATTGTTTTTATGTACATATGCAACCAGGTTTTTTTTTTTAAAGATTTTATTTACTTATTTGACAGAGACATAGAGAGAGAGCACAAGCAGAGGGAGCAGCAGAGGGAGAGGGAGAAGCAGGCTCCCCACTTAGCAGGGAGCCTGATGCAGGGCTTGATCCCAGGACCCTGAGATCATGACCTGAGCCGAAGGCAGACGTTTAGCCAACTGAGCCACCCAGGAACCCCTGCAGCTGGATTTTAAATAAATCAGTGATTAACGCTTGGTTGTTTTTAAGAATTCTTAATCCATTTTTCCCATTATAATTTCCTTCTCCATCTTCAGTTACTCAACCAATTTCTATTAGTAGGCCTTGCTACAAAAGCAGATTATTCTAGGAAAAAAGGTCCAGGTGTTTCCTGGCTTAATTTACCTAGGAAATTCTTAGCAGTATCAGTATCAGCTGCTTCTGTGAATGAGGTGAAAGAATGATCCCTAATTGCTGCTCTCCTCATCCTTCATTCTTCAACATTTCCTGAACGCCACCAAACCAGCAGAATACAGGGAGTTTTTCCTACCTCTTCAGATTAGTTTGCCTTTAATCTTTACAAGACCATTTCAAACTACTTCCCATTTCTTCATGGAAATTTTATTTCTAAACTATAAACTACAGTGGCCTGTTGAAAGCACTTTGTTACATGTGTCTGAGTCTCTCTCTAGAAGGTCACAGCTGTGTCTGGGGAGAAAGGTAGTGTGGCTGTTGTTATATTGGGGTAATTCACATAATGCCTGTTTTGGCTATCAGGAAGAGCCAACCAGAGCCGGAAAGTTGCGGCAGGCTTGTTGTCAAAGCTCTTTTATGACCAGCAGGAATAGGAAGACAAAGAGGAGCCAGAGAG